TCTTCTACAAAGGCTGATAGCAAAACCTGCCATGAAGTGAGTCAAAGTAGCTAAGTGTATAAGTAGTTCACAGAAAGCATTATTAGCTTTTGCTGGTGTTGGGGAAAGCTTCCTAGAGGAAGAAATGCCTGAGCAGAAATCTAATACAAGAACGGTCTCCAGAAAAAGTCTGAAGTGACCTTCCCCACACTGACAGTAACTTAGCAGGCAAAGGACCAGCATCTAAAATTACAGGAGCAGGAAAAAAATTAAAAAATCAGGGTTCTTCCATGAAGTTATCCTAATTGTACAGAGGAGAAAGTATTTTTGGTCTCCTCAGAACTTACAGAAAATATTTGAACAAAGAAGCTTCATCTTTTTAAAAAAATTATAGAAAGCACTTATTGAAAGCACTCATTTATCAGTAAATATATATTTGTGGGATACATAATTTTGTGGAGTTAAAGCTAAGTGATCACTTATATGATAAAGGAATAGACAGGAAATATACACATTAAGGTATTTCAGGATCCAAAAAAAATTACCAAAGAAGCAAGGGCTGAATAGTGAAACTCCAGTGACACAAGAGCTCAATGATTAAGGCAGGGCTCCAAACCAAGATTCGGGGGATTTAAAGGAGGTAATAGAAAAGAGTGAGATGACACAGCATACCACCCACTCATTATTAAAAGTAGATTTTTTTTTTTATTTTAAAGAGAAAAAAAAACAAGGACAAAGACAAAAAGGAAGCAACATAAAATAAAAATGGCATGATGTTTCAAAACACCGTAGGAATAAAAAATTAACAATGGTTGGTATACTATACATTTGTATCATCAAATTTGTTGCTCAGATTACTAGACACAGGCATACAAACACTTGAACTTAACTCTTCCTTTCAATAAGACATTAGAAATAACATACATTTAAAAAAAAGCTGAAATGTATTCAACAGTGATCGTTATATTGCACATTGCTGTCTTCAATGTAGTTGCTCAGATTACAGATATTAGCGTATAAAATTGGTCAAAGTAAACATTTTTAGTATTAACTGCTACCTTCAAAAAACTGACAAACGCACTGAGATGGCAATTGAGACTGGGTGTGGTGATATGCACCTGTAATCCCAGCTCTTGGGAGGCTGTAAGAAGGCAGATCACTATGAGTCCAATCTAGTAGTGAGACCCTGAACACCCTATACACCCTTCCCTACACTATATTAAAAAAAAAAAAACTGACAGAAATTACTAACACAATCATTTTAGCATTCCTATGTTTATACTTACATGATTTTTGTCCCCTTCCTTTTTTACCTGTCTCTTCTCCTTTCTCTTATCTCAATTATTTATTTCCTTTTTTTAATGTATGTAGGACAGGGTCTGGCTACAGGGTCTCACTACACAGATCAGACTCATAGCAATCATCCTGTTTTCAACCTCCCAAGTGCTGGGATCACAGGCACGTACCACCATGCCATCTTAATTGTCACACCCCAGGGGCGGGGCTAGCACAGCAGGCTGTGGATCGAACCCCGGTCGCTGCGCCTGCCTAAGCAGGTGCTTTAATCTGCTGAACTATCTGGCGGACTCCTCAATTATTTATTTCTTATGTTCTGTTTATTTCCACTTTTTAAAAAACTGTATCTATGCTGTATCTATTTTCTTTACTATATCTACTGTACCTTTCAGATTTTATTTACTCTTTTAGGTTCTTACACTAGGGAGACAATATGATGTTCACATATATGGATCTGATTTATTTCATTTATGAGTGTAGCCTCTAGTCGCATCCATTTACCTATAAAAGTCTCAAGTTTATCTTTCTTTATAGCTGAGTAATACTCCCTTGTATAAAAGTACCACATCATTTTAATCATTCATCAGTTGATGGACATTTGGGTTATTTCCAAGATTTAGCTATGATAAATTGTGCTACTATAAACATGGGTGCACATGTATCACTGTGATATGATGTTTTTTAGTTCTTTTGGAAAAATACCTAGAAAGGGAATATCTGGATTGAATGGGACTTCTAAACTTAGTTTTTTGAGAAGTCTCCAAACTGACTTCCATAGTGGTTGTACCACTCTACGCTCCCACCAACAGTGGAGAAGGGTTGCTTCTTCCCCAAAGCCCCTCCAGCATTTGTTATTAGTTGATTTCTTTATGAAAGCCATTCTTCCTAGAGTAGGATGGTATCTCAGTGTCATTTTAATTTGCATTTCTTGAATGATCGGTGTGCTGTGGAACACTTCTTCATGTATTTGTTTGCTATCTGTATTTAAAAGTGTTTAAAGGGGCCAGGGAGATGGCTCAGTGGAATAAGTGCTTCCCTGGCAAGTGTAAGGGCCTGAGTTCAATCCCTAGTTCCACAAAAATAAATAAATAAATAAAATAAAAATAAAAGTGTTTAAAAAGTAAACTTTTATTATTAAAAAAATTCTACCAACTACCTATAAGGTTATTATTTCAGAGAATAGAGAATTTCATAGTTCATCTCTTCCTTTCCCTATCTATACTTAGAATTTTAAGAAATCATTTAAATTAACTTCAAAATGTTCCTGTAGATGTTACTAAACTCTGCCCATACCAATGAATGCCAAACATGTCACTGTTTCCATAGTAACTAATGCACTTTAAAAGGGGGGGGGGATAGAGGAAAAAGGCTTAAAAACCAGGAGGGAAAATGGAATAAAGTGAAATAAACAAAGCAAAACATCTTTGCATTTATGGAACACTTACTAATTTCAAACATTTTATTATTATTTAGATTCAGAGGCCTTTAAGAGACAGAGAGATCGCAGAAGTCATCAAATCTACTTCCCACTTACAACTGAAACTCCCCTTTCAATGTAGCTTTACCACAGTGTCAAACTGCATACAGAGCTCATGGCTAGGAAGTGCTCAGTCATTTACTCACAAACTTCATCAAGTACATATGTAGCTGGGAAGGCAAATAATTTTTAAAAGGCAAAAAAAAAAAAAAAAAGAGGGGAGGGCACTATCCTCAAGATACAAGAACAAAAGAAAAATCTGTCAGAATAGTAAGAGCTCATCTGACTCTTAATTAAAGGGTTGCAGGTTAAGCAAAAATAACATCTGAACTAAAATGTACACAGGATGAATTGGGCAGCTATCATCATCAGACTCTCAAATAACGAAGTGTAGTAGTGTAGTAGAGCCTGACTCTGTTGCTACCTGAAATAGCAACTTTAGCTGAAATGGCCTGTTGGCATACAAAATAATAATAATAATAATAATAATAACATTATTATTATTATAAATAGGGGAATAAAATAAGAACAAGTTATAACTTCTTTTAAAAAAAATTTTCCCTTAAAGGTTTTATGGTGTTTTAGAGTTTTAGACATATGCCTCCATTTTTACCTTACAGAATGGAGAGTTAAGTATTCTCTTACATGCAGACAGAATGGCTACTATCCTGACCTTGAAGTGTTCTTAACAGATCAGCTCTGTTATATAATTTCTAACAGAAAGAAGAATTTACATTTACTTGTTAACTCAGTGTCATAATTTCTGGTAGATAGCCCTCTCTTTAATAAATCTTTTGCTATAGCAAGACCTTGTCTCAAAAAAAGAATCTTTTGCTGATTTATATTTTAAAATCTCATATAATAAGAAACACAATTAGGTTATCTGGGTAGGCATCACATGTATCTTAGAGAATATAATATGAAGTCACAATAGTTAAACTAGGTACTTCAGACAGAAAGTTTTGTGTCTGAGGTGGCCTTCTGGTTACAGTGCTTTAAAGTTTTTCCAAGCTAAAATATATATATATTCTATATTTTATATATTTTATATATATATATATATCTATCTATCTATCTCATAGGTCTTAAACTACTTACTAATCACAATTTCAACCCTACTACTGAATGAGCCCTTCACCTTTTTCCTCTTCCTTTTGCATCTCCCCTGCCAACTAAGAACCTAAAGCATGCCAGACAAGAACTTATCTTTGAGCTCTATCCTTAGCTGTGAATTTTTTCTTATCAAAACAACTAAACTGTAATTAAACAGTTTTTGGTGGAGAAGCTGAAGGAAAATTATGAGACCCTTGAAGCTAGTCCATAGGTTGAAGTTTAGGAAGCACTGGCCTATAAATTCTAAAATCTATCCTTGAAATCATCAAGGCCAATAGAGAGAGCTACATATACAGAAGGCTCACGTTGATCTTATACTGAAATGTTTGTTCTAATTGTCCTTTGTCATAATTCCCCTTGTATATGTTAAGGCACACAAGAAGGAAACACCTTCTGTGTTCTGTAAAAGTGATGAGAGTGTGCCCAATACACACACACACACACACACACACACACACACACACAGACTTTCTTCTTTTCTGAGAATATTGCAAAGATATGACTCTGCTTTCAGCTCTCTTTCTCTTGATGTCTAGCTCTTCTTTACCTTGTGGAAATGGATAATGCTTTAGAGGTACAATGTTTCTCTTTCTTTGGATGCTAGAAAATTTATGGCATACCATTAGCATTATTTAACTTCCTTAAAGACATGTAATTTGTTGACTGACTTTACTTATAACATTATCTGGTTTTAATTATTCTTTGACTACTTTTAAAATATTTTACTTTGTTTTATTTTGTCATATGGTGCAGAGAATGCTGCAATACCTTTTCAAAAAAGCTGGCTATCAGTGGGTTAATAAATGAGAGGATAAAAGAAAAAAAATATTTTTTCATCTCCTTTTGCATAAGTGATCTATTCAATTATATATCTACCTAAATAATTTCCCAAAAAACCTTTTTGGTCAGAGATGGTTAAAAGTGTTTGAAAGAGGATGGACTTCTTAAAATGCATACCTGAAGGCTGTTTCAGAACTCTTTTGCATTAATATGTAGACATGTTTCTACTTCAAAGTATGTCTTTTACCATAAAGATGAACAAGGAATTTCATGAAGATTTCAGCATAGGATTAAATAACTTGCTTCTTCACTTAGAAGAGTTTCATATTTTTCAGTGTTGAAACTAGATACTTACAGGCACGTGGACTTTGCGAAACATTTCAGCACCCTTATACGCATCCATTAGTGCAATGTCCTGGGGTGTGGAGACAATCACAGCACCTGACCAAAAGAGAAACAAAATAATTCTATCTTTAAGTTCTTTATGGAGAGAGTGCTTCTGATATTATTTTGTTTACATGCTCAAATAGTCTACCATATTAACTTAGCAATTCATATAAAATTTATATAAATGAGTAAAAAAGAATAAGCAAATGTTTGGTTTGGCCTACTTTTGGCCCCTCATTTCTAAAACAATTAGTTCATCCAATGATTCAAGATCACATTTGGATAAGAGGACTATGTTGGCACACAGTCAGACTTTAACCTTCAAGAAGTTGACAGTTTACTCAGGAAATCAAAATACACGGATTTTAACACAAAGTGCTAAGTAATACGATAGAGGTATACACAGGAAAGAGAGCTACCTGGGAGAGATGATAGTGAACTATGACAACTGGGATGGAGAAGCAAAAGATAAGGAGAAACAATAGGGAAGAGTTTCTAGAAATAATACCTCAACTGTACCCTAAAAGACTTTATTGTAGAAGCTTACATTGTGTAGACAGCTTGGTGGGCATTACATTGAAGGATGTGGCAAAAATTCAGACAAAAGAGTTGTAGCCTGAACTAAGGCAACACTGAAGTGATGGCGATGGCACATTCCTAGATCTCATCATCAGCTACAGAAATGCAGAGTTTGGAAGAAAGCGCAATGCTACTTTTCTTTACGTGGTACCAACAAAGGCCTATTTATGAATGGCAGAGCCAATGAATTTCTTAAAAAAAGTTTATGATTTCTTCTTGATAACAATCTAAAACAATAAAGAACATGAATATATTGTAGATCACATGGCTGATCATCACTTTATAAGAAAAAACACAATGCCATGACATTTCAGAGCTCCAAACCATTAAATTGGTATCAAGTGGCAGTCTTTCTCACAACTAATAGAAACAGAAAGAATTAACAAGAAGTAACAGATTAGACCACATGAAGGTCAAATGACACTGCAAAGTATTAACTGTATGTGGAGGTATTTTGGAGAAGTTAGAATAGAGAAAAGTGGTCAGAAAACTAAGTTATCACAAAGCACATGGTAGTACAAGCATGCCCAAATCAAACAAAAATCCCATGCAAGAGCAAGCTACAAATTCTTCTTGCAATTGGAATTTGCATTCAGCAAAAAGTTTTTTCTTTATATTAACTTTGTAAGTTTTGCTTCCATTTGTCTTATTTGATTAGTTTTAAAAATTAAAATAGCTATAAGTTTAATGAATTTGTATATATATTTAGTTAAGGAACTTTCTAATAAAAATAAATCAATATGGGATTGGAGGAGAAAATTACTTTTTAGGAGGAAAATCTATATTCATTGCTCAAGTTTGAGATACATCAGCTTTAGAATTCAAACATAAAAGGATTCAGTTTCTTCATTTACAAAATGGCACAGTAATACTTAGATCACAAATGATTTAAATGATGCCTTGCATTAAATGGTAGCTGTTGTTAACATCATTAGCATTACTATATTTATTGTGACTAATAAATAACTTAGAAGTTGCTTTCCTACATGTCATCAAGCAGTTCATCCTACTTTACAAATTATGCCATGGATGGCTACATTCTATTATGATTTACTCTGCCTAAGAACCAAAATTTAGTCAACAGCTCTTTCCTCTCTCTTAAAGACTGATAGGTTCCACATCTCTGTAAGAAATATACTCTACGCATGCAACATATTTTCACATTTTTCTATCTTCTAGGTTCTTCTATCAACCTGCTTAATTATGTCCAACTAATTTGAAAGGATCTGACTCAGATCTAATTCATTCTAGCCATGTGACTAACTAACCTTGGGCAAAGAACTCCAAATCTCTCTGGGTCTCTGTTTCCTTAGGTGTGGATACATTAGATAGCTCCAACCTCTCCTCTATCTCTCCTTACATGATTCAGGATTCCTTTATAACCACAAATATTTCAAACACTATCACTACTAAATCTGACCATCCCCATAATCTCATGCAAGTAAATGTAAAATGTCTCTTCCTCAAAGAAATACTATTTCTCAATCTCAAAGCCATTCTCTTCAGATATACATGGGGAACTTCCCCGGCTAATTTCTCCAAATATTTTTAACTATATACTGCTACATATGAGACACTCTATTCATTGGCAATAAAAAGTAATCTTAGCTTTCAAATGACAGAAACATATTATTGCTTTAAATATTGTTGTTAATTATCTCTATCATTATGACACAACACAGCTTCATGGGTGTTACAATAATTTGTATGTAAATAGTATTCTTTCCCTTTTTTTGAAAGCTTAATCTGATGGCTTTGACAAGACAAAATCTTTAGGAATTGGGGTCTAGTAAGGTGAGGATGATTAGGTCCCTAGCTGCTACCCTCAGGAAGGGTTAGGTAGTTCTTGTGGGACCACAGTTAGTCCCTACAAAAGTTGTTATAAAAGAGAAGCCAGATGTGGTGGCACATGCCTGTCCTCCCAGTACTCAGGAGGCTGGGGCAGCAGTATCTCTGTGAGTTTGAGGCCAAACTGGGCCACATAGTGAGTCCAAGGCCAGCCTGACTAAGTTTTTGACTTCCTGTTTCATCATGTAGTCCCTTCTTCTTGCCCACATTTACACCATGTCATTTTATTTACAATGTGACACTTACCAGAAGTCAAATGGACAAAGCTCCATAATCCCAGGTTTTTACCCTTCAAAGCATGAGTTAAATACTCTTTTCTTTGTAAAACACCCCACCTTGGGTATTTTGTTACAGTAACAGAAACAAATATAATGGGTAGTTGTATTTATATTTATATTTTTACCAAGCAAAACTAATGGCACAATACCTTTAGCAAATTAGACACTTAATGAAAGGTAAGCGATTAAGTAATTTTCCTATATTTTCTGAATCATATATCCTAGTTTACTGCAACATTAACTTTTAATTGGTAACTCCTTAAACGAGGAGTCAAGAACTCTAAACTCTGGTTTTGTTTACTATGTTAATGTACTGTAAAACTGAATAATTTACTAATCTCAATACATCTCAACTAACTCCTGTATAAGATAAACCTACTTAAATAGCTGTTCCATTAAAAAATAATTTAAAAGTGTTATAAAAATGTTTAGTGTCATTATTTTGATAGCTCTAAGGTCCAAGATAGAACTAAAATGACTTTTTTTGTACTTTACTCTAATACAGTATCACAAATCAATATCCATTCCATCTGAATTTCTTCATAGAATTATCTTAATAGCGGGCTGGAGAGATGGCTCAGTGGTCTAAAGCACCTACTTAGAACAAGC